GTTGCGGACACGATCCGTTCTGGGGTGCCATTTGCACCCCAAAAAGTCCGCAACTAGAGTGGCGCTTCTGCGCATGTGCAAAGCATGCAGAATGCTTCGGCACGTGCGGCAAAACCCGGAAGTATAAACTTCCAGGTTTGCTGCGTTCGCAAGCTGAAAAGACGCAACATGAACCTAACGCAACACGAGGTATGACTGTACTGCCCATGGCAGACGAACTTTCAGCGCAGTAAGGAAGTTTGCCATAGTTCAGGCAGGCATGTAGTTGCTCCTCTAATCTCTGAAATTCCCACGAGATCCGAACTCTAGAATACTAGGCATTAGATGCAAAAAAAAAAAAGTTGTGAAATGTGCATATGTTCCTAAATCTGACATGGACTGGCTGGAGGATCACAAGGGTACGCAATGGTTGTGATTACAACCATGTAACTTTTCCCAATTCAGGCCCCAACCCACCATTAGAGTAGAAATGGAAACCCCACACTCAGGGCTGATCTACATTCCTGCTTCCCCACCACTTTCATACCCTCCAACATTTCTCCGATGCAAATAAGGTTGCCCTATTCCATCATGATGATGCCGATAAAGAAAGATGATGATTTTAATAATTATACCCCACCCATCTGACTGGGTTGCACCAGCCACTCTGGGCAGTTTCCAACATAGATAAAAACATAATAAAACAGTAAACATTATAAAAAAACTTCCTTATACAGTGGTGCCTCGCAAGACGAAATTAATTCATTCCGCGAGTTTTGTCGTCTTGCGATTTTTTTCGTCTTGCGAAGCACGGTGTCGGGAAAGTTTTGGAAAAGCTTCAAAATCACCAAAGTCTTTAAAAACCTCAAAAAAGGCTACCACACCGCGTTCTATGAGTTGCTCCTCGAAGTCAAGTCGCAACTGTATTAACGGTGTTAAGAAAAAGGAAACAAACTTGCAAGACGTTTCCGTCTTGCGAAGCAAGCCCATAGAGAAAATCGTCTTGCGAAGCAGCTCAAAAAACAAAAAACCCTTTCGTCTACCGAGTTTTTTGTCTTGCGAGGCATTCGTCTTGCGAGGTACCACTGTACTAGCTGCCTTCAGATGTCTTCTAAAGGTTGCATAGTTACTTATCTCCTTGGTTTGGGGGGGTTGCATAACTCCACACCCTCCAACTTTTCTCCAAGAAAAATAGGGATGGAAATATGGACATTCTGGGATCAAATCAGAAACCGGGATGGCTTCTGTAAATCTAGGACTGTCCCTAAAAAATAGGGGTGCTTGGAGGGTCTGTCTTTCCCCATGATCTGAAATGTGGAGACATGAAGGTTCAGCAAAATTCTGACTCAATGGAAAGTGGGTCTCCAAAGCAGTTGGCACCAAATCACCCCACTATGCGGGTGGCACTGTGGTCTAAACCACACAGCCTAGGACTTGCCGATCAGAAGGTCGGCGGTTCGAATCCCCGCAATGGAGTGAGCTCCCATTCCTCGGTCCCTGCTCCTGCCAACCTAGCAGTTCGAAAGCACATCAAAGTGCAAGTAGATAAATAGATACCGCTCCGGCAGGAAGGTAAATGGCGTTTCCGTGCGCTGCTCTGGTTCATCTGAAGTGGCTTAGTCATGCTGGCCACATGACCCGGAAGCTGTACGCCGGCTCCCACGGCCAGTAAAGCGAGATGAGCGCCGCAACCCCAGAGTCATCCGCGACTCTGCCTAACGGTCAGGGGTCCCTTTACCTTTACCTTTATGCAAAGCACCGAAGCAAGATCTGAAGCAAGTGTCTTGGACACCCCTGTTTTAAACATACCATTAAACATAACCATTGTTTATATCGTCATTGTGAACTATAGCCGTATAACAATATTTTTAGGTGTGAGTTGCTTATGGTCAATAGTTCTTACATTGTTCCATTTGTGATCCAAAATATATTGGACTTTTAAAAAAAATCATTTTGGCTGGGAGGGCACCTTTAAATAATGCTTTAGATATAGAGTTTAATATCTGGATGTCTTGTACTGTACAATTTATTATTATATGATTAAGGCTTGGAGTTCTTGTACTATTTTTGTCTTTGCTCCGAAACTTAGTGATTCAACCTCCTTGATTTAAGACCTGCTTTCCCCCACCTCATCCCTTTTTATAACTTCTTCAAGAGAGATAGATCAATTTGAACATGTCATGTAGTCATACGACGTTTTGTTTTGAACGGCCTCCGTTTTCTTCTGCACTTTTGCAGAAAAAGTACTTACTGCAAGTGGGGGATGTTTGGGTAATGTAAGTTCTTCCGTCGTTGGAGCTTTCTGGAGAAGCACGCAGTTTCAAGCTTTTAACTACTGAGATGCCATCTTTGTGTTTGTAATTAATCATTGTCATATTGGACTACTATCTATAATTTTATTCTATTTTGTGTAAGCAGATCAGGATCTCTTTTTGATTAAAGTACATGCCAAAACAGGGAAAAGACAGGCATCTATGCTCAAAGGTGGGGAATACCAGCGCTTCAATGAATTTTTGGATCTCTATGTACTATACCTTCAAAGCATATTCAAAACACATTTCCCCCTTCAATTAATTCTGGATACTGTAGTTTGTCAAGGGGTTCTAGAAATAGTAACTGTGATGGCTAAACTGCAGTGCCCATAATTATTTGAGGGGGGAAATTTGTTTCAAATGTGCTTTAAAGGAATATTTTATGTTCACAGCTTCATCCATTTAGCTTTTCATGGTAAAAGTAGCAAAGAGAGTGTAGGGACATCAAACATTAAAAACTTCCCTATACAGGGCTACCTTCAGATGTCTTCTGAAGGTTGTATAGTGACTCATCTCCTTGTCATCTGATGGGAAGGCATTTCACAGGGTGGGAGCCACTACGGAGAAGGCCTGGTTCTCTGTAATTTTACTTCTCGCAGTGAGGGAACCACCAGAAGGCTCTCAGAGCTGGATCTCAGTGTCCGGACAGAACGATGGAGGTGGAGACACTTCTTCTTTTTTTTTATAATTTTTTTTATTAAAGTTTTAAACAACAAAAAAAGAAAAACAACACACACAAAAAACAATACAAAACTTAACAATATAAACACAAAACAATTAAAAACAAACTCTCTTTTCCATTTCCAATTTTAAGTTACTTATTTTCTGGACTTCCTCATACCTCCCTCTTTTGTATTCCAATCCACATTATTTGTCCAGCAGTTTCTTTTCCACTTTTTTAATCCCAATCTTTAATTTAATAAAATGTTAAAATATATAACTTCAACTTTTTTAAACCTAATGCTTGATCTTAATATCATATAGCTTTAAAGTTTTCCCTTTTAAAATCAAATTCCCATTTCTTTAAACTTCTTTAATCTTAATCTTTAATCTTAATCTATCCTTAACTTTAACCTGTGCAGCTGGAAACCACTTATTTTCAGTCCAACATCACTCTAACATTCCTTAATTTTGCAGTGTTTCTGAAGATAGTCTTTGAATTTCTTCCAGTCTTCCTCCATCGACTCTTCTCCCTGGTCACGGATTCTACCAGTCATTTCCGCCAATTCCATATAGTCCATAAGTTTCATCTGCCATTCCTCCAGCGTGGGAAGTTCTTGTGTCTTCCAGTGGAGACACTTCTTCAGGTATACTGGGCCAGGGCTGATTAGGGCTTTAAAGGTCAGCACCAACTCTTTAATTGTGCTCAGAAACGTATTGGGAGCCCATGTAGATCTTCTAGGACCAGTGTTATGTGGTCCCGACAGCCACTCCCAGTCAAGGGTCTAGCTGCCGCATTCTGGATTAGTTGTAGTTTCTTAATCACCTTCAAAGGTAGCCCCATGTAGAGTGCATTGCAGTAGTCCAAGTGGGACTAAGCATGTACCACTCTGGTGAGACAGTCTGCGGGCAGGTAGGGTCTCAGCCTGCATAGCAGATGGAGCTGGTAGACAGCTGCCCTGAACACAGAATTGACCTGCATCTCCATGGATAGCTGTGAGTCTAAAATGACTCCCAGGCTGCACCCCTGGCCCTTTAGGGGCACAGTTACCCCACTCAGGACCAGGGAGTCCCCCACCCAGCCCCTGTCCCCCTAGGAAATATCATTACTTTGCGGATGATAATGCCAACATATTTGCCTTCCTTTGCTATATTGTGGCTCAAGATGTAGTCAGGAACCTGGCTCAGCTTATATCTGTCCAGCAATTATTGAAACCTTAGAAATAATAAAACAGCTACCTGTTTGATGCCATGAGATATAACTAGACTGGACAACTATATGTACCATATGTCTCCTATATGTACCATATGTATATGTACCTACTGTCTCCTATATGTACCATATGTATTTTCCCCATCCTGCGCTAAGCAAGAGTTCCTCTTGAAAGGAGCTGCTTTAGCTCCTCTGAGAGTGAACGTGCTTCATGCCTTCCTTTAGTCGCACGTTTGGGTGCTTGAGAGCTCGGTGGTTGCAGAGAGGAGCTGGACTTATTTTGCAGGCACGCAGTCTGTGGGTGTTTGCACACAAAACACTGCTGTGTGTTTGCCTTTGCCCAGTCAAGTGAGAAGCGCCGAGCAAAAACAAAGGTTATGGTGCTCCCTGCTGGCCAATTACCTTTTTCAAACCCAGGTGGTCAACCCAGCTTTCTGGCCTCCTCACCTTCTTAAAACCCTTTGTTTGAATGTTGCAGGCCGCAGGCAGCAGGCAGGGTGACCCGCTGTCCTTCAAAAGGACAAAGCAGGCCTAAAGTCCTTGATGTTCCAAACCACCGCCAATTTTGCTCCTATTTTGAATCTTTGCTGGTTCAAAAAACTGGAGGTGAAGTAGTGTCATAGCATCATGAAGTTGGAAGGGACCCTGAGGATCATCTAGTCCAAGGTCTCCCAAACTCAAATCTCCAGGGTTTTTTTGGACTACAACTCCCATCACCCCTGAACACTGGTCCTGCTAGTTAGGGATGATAGGAGTTGTAGTCCAACAACAGCTAAATATGCAAGTGTGTGAAAACCTGATCTAGTCCAACCCCCTGCAATGCAGGAATATGCTGTTGTCCCATACGGGAACTCGAACCTGCGACCTTGGTATTATCAGCACTACGTTCTAACCAACTGAACTATCCAGTAGTCCATCTGAGCTATCATCTGTTCCATTTCCCTCCTATTCTTCACTCCTGTTTCCTGTCGGAGATGTTTCAGCAAAGCTTGCCAGCCTTTCAGCTCATCATTGTGACTGACTTCCAACAGCAGCTTGATGTGCAGGCATCATTGGGTGATAATGCATATCCCCCTGTTGCGAGCAGCTTCTCTGCCTGATGTTCTGCGCATCAAACCGATGACAAAAGCAGGGCAAGAGAGTTTCCAGTAAGATATCTGGCAACCAAAACTTCCTCTCCAGAAAGTCCAGGCTTTGCTTGAAAAGCACTGTCCCTCATTCTCCACATTTGTTGTCATTTAGTCGTGTCTGACTCTTCGTGACCCCATGGACCAGAGCACACCAGGCACTCCTGTCTTCCACTGCCTCCTGCAGTTTGGTCAGACTCATGTTTGTAGCTTTGAGAACACTGTCCAGCCATCTTGTCCTCTGTCATCCCCTTCTCCTTGTGCCCTCCATCTTTCCCAACATCAGGGTCTTTTCCAGGGAGTCTTCTCTTCTCATGAGGTGGCCAAAGTATTGGAGCCTCGGCTTCAGGATCTGTCCTTCCAGTGAGCACTCGGGGCTGATTTCCTTAAGAATGGTAAAACTAGTTCTTCACCACTGGTTTAACATCGAAAGGTCGGTTCATTTCTTCAGTAATTGCTTCAGTCTTCGGCAGTGGAAAAGGACTTCAGCTGGGTGACCATGGCAGAAGGAACAGGATGATGATGTCAATTGTGTGGGACTGGTGAAGATTGACATTGGGGAATAGGAAGCTGCCTGATATTGTACCGGACCATTGGTCCATCGAGCTCAGTATTGTCTGCAGGGGGTTCAGGCAGGGCACATTCCCAGTCATACTTGGAAATGCCAGGCATTGAACCAGGAACTCTCTGGATGTATAGCAAGTTCTCTACAAGAGAGAAGCAAGATAGAGCAAGGGAGGCAAAGACAGGTACATGAGGCAGGCAGGTGGCAGGCCCTCCAAAGGTCTCCATTTTCCAAGTACAGATTTACAGAAGCTGTCCCAGTCTCTGATACGATCCCGGAAAGTCCTGCTTTTCCTTAGGACACCCCTATTGTCATCAGAGAAATGTTGGAAGGTGTGGTAAAAGGTAAAGGTAAAAGGACCCCTGACCATTAGGTCCAGTCGTGACCGGCTCAGGGGTTGCGGCGCTCATTTCGCTTTATTGGCCAAGGGAGCCGGTGTACAGCTTCCGGGTCATGTGGCCAGCAGGACTAAGCCGCTTCTGGTGAACCAGAGCCACACACGGAAACGCCGCTTACCTTCCCACCAGAGCGGTACCTATTTATCTACTTGCACTTTGACGTGCTTTCGAACTGCTAGGTTGGCAGGAGCAGGGACCAAGCAACGGGAGCTCACCCCGTCACGGGGATTCGAACCGCCAACCTTCTGATCGGCAAGTCCTAGGCTCTGTGGTTTATCCCTTGGAAGGTGTGGTAGGACCTCCCTATTTTCATCGGAGAAATGCTGGAGGGTATGGAAACAAGGATGGCTGTTCTGGGAAGAAGGCAAGGAGCACTGAGCTCTGCTGATATTCCATTAAATTGAATCATGTTGTTGTTGTTGTTGTTAATTATTTATACATACATACATACATACATACATACATACATACATAGCCCACCATCTGGCTGGGTTTCCCCAGCCACTCTGGGCAGCTCCCAACAGAATATTAAAATACAATAGTCTCTTAAACATTAAAAGCTTCCCTGAACAGGGCTGCCTTCAAATGTCTTCTAAAAGTCTGGTAGTTGTTGTTCTCTTTGACATCTGGTGGGAGGGCGTTCCACAGGGCGGGTGCCACTACCGAGAAGGCCCTCTGCCTGGTTCCCTGTAACTTGGCTTCTTGCAGGGAGGGAACCGCCAGAAGGCCCTCGGTGCTGGACCTCAGTGTCCGGGCAGAACGATGGAGGTGGAGACGCTACTTCAGGTATACTGGACCGAGGCCGTTTAGGGCTTTAAAGATCAGCACCAACACTTGGAATTGTGCTTAGAAACGTACTGGGAGCCAGTGTAGGTCTTTCAAGACTGGTGTTATATGGTCTCGGCAGCCACTCCCAGTCACCAGTCTAGCTGCCGCATTCTGGATTAGTTGTAGTTTCCGGGCTACCTTCAAAGGTAGCCCCACATAGAGCGCATTGCAGTAGTCCAAGCGGGAGATAACCAGAGCATGCACCACTCTGGCGAGACAGTCTGCGGGCAGGTAGGGTCTCAGCCTGCGTACCAGATGGAGCTGATAAACAGCTGCCCTGGACACAGAATTATATTAGAATTATTTCAGTTGAAGGGTCGCATCCCACCCCACACCGGCAAGATCTTATAGGCCACCTGGCATACTCCTGGGTGGAGAGGCAAAGGCAGGGGGAAACCACAGAGTCTCGCCTCCTTTACTCTTTACCACATATACCAATGACATATTCAATATTCAGAGCTTCGTTTTGTTGGCCACCGAATATCGCACAATTTTTATCGCCGTTTGTTTAAATTGTATCAGTAATCTGCCAAGTTTTAATGGGAGCTTTCTATGAATAGGCAACAAGCCATGAAATGTGGTGTTTTCATCATGAACGACCCAGGAAATTAATGTTGCCCTTGATTTATATGGTGTACTGGCAAGTTCCTCGAGGTGACATGACATGGCTCCATCATCATTCCCTCCGATTCTTCTGTCGTCCTTGTCATCTGTGGGTGGACGGTATAACACTCGCTGTTGCCTCCCATGGGTGTAAAGGAGGAGAAATGGCATGGCCAGAGTGAGCAGGGAACTTCCATGCCTCAGAATGGGACTTGCGCAAAGTACTTCTAATAATGTTTGTTTGTTTGTTTGTTAAATTTGTATACAGTGGTACCTCAGGTTAAGTACTTAATTCGTTCCGGAGGTCCGTACTTAACCTGAAACTGTTCTTAACCTGAAGCACCACTTTAGCTAATGGGGCCTCCCGCTGCCGCCGCGCTGCCGGAGCACGATTTCTGTTCTTATCCTGAAGCAAAGTTCTTAACCTGAAGCACTATTTCTGGGTTTGCGGAGTCTGTAACCTGAAGCGTATGTAACCTGAAGTGTATGTAACCTGAGGTACCACTGTATTGCCCTTCGTCTGAAGATCTCAGAGTGGTTCACAGCATAAAAATACAAAATAAAAAAGCACAATAAATAATAAAAGCAAGAAGAAAAACAAATAAAACCAATAGCCCACCTCCCACAAACATCTTGAAAAGGACATTTCTCCGATAAAAATAAGGACGTCCTATTCCATAATATTACTAATAATAATTTTATTATTTATACCACAGCTATCTGACGGGGCGGCTTCCAACATATATAAAAGCATAACAAAACATTATACATTAAAAACACTTCCCTATGCAGGTCTGCCTTCAGATGTCTTCTAAAGGTGGTAGAGTTACTTATTTCCTTGGCTTGGGGGTCGCATAACTCCCTAGCCTCCAACATTGCTCCAGTGAAAATAGAGCTGTCCTACCATACCCTCTTTAGGGACACGGGTGGCACTGTGGGTTAAACCACAGAGCCTAGGGCTTGCCGATCAGAATGTCGGCGGTTCGAATCCCCGTAACGGGGTGAGCTCCCATTGCTCGGTCCCTGCTCCTGCCAACCTAGCACTTCGAAAGCACATCAAAAGTGCAAGTAGATCAATAGGCACCACTCCGGCGGGATGGTAAACAGCGTTTCCGTGTGTTGCTCTGGTTCACCAGAAGCGGCTTAGTCATGTTGGCCACGTGACCTGGAAGCTGTATGCCAGCTCCCTCGGCCAGTAAAGCGAGATGAGTGCTGCAACCCCAGAGTCATCCACAACTGGACCTAATGGTCAGGGGTCCCTTTACCTTTACCTTACCATACCCTCCAACATTTCTCTTGCATGGCCTCTACTGAGCCAATGGGCAGGGGATGAAGACAGGTGAAAATCTTGGGCAGACTGGATGGCAACAAAACTCTGAGATAAGTCAAGCCTACCATATCCCACCACCCACCATAGCTATGCTGTTGCTTCTCATTCTATGACACACACACACACACCCTGCTATTTTTGGCCCTGCCATGAATATGTCTTTTTATAAAAGAAAAAATTAACTCATATAGATCCTAGTGCTTGCCTTTCTATGAAGGCTGCCAAGTGCTACAGTAGCATGGGTTGTAATAATTGCTCAGCGGGCAGCTTGGCCCTTGCGATGAGATTCCCTGCTCTCTTGCACACACTCAAACACGTACACCCCTCTCTGCCTTCCCCCCCTCCTCCCCCCCCCCCCCAGGCTTCCTGCTAGGCCGTGTACACATCTCCCTAGGTAGCAGCTGGGCTCTTCCGCCTCTCCTTTTGTGATACTGCCACTAAATGAGGCGATTCCCCCCCCTCCCGCCTCAACTCCATCCTGAGCTCCTCTGCCTGGTTTGCCCACCCTTCCGCTCTCAACGTTTGCCCCTTAAAGGCTCGGGTTTTGTCTTTCGTACGCACCGGCCCCTCTGTCCCCCCACAGAGTCAGATTTTTTTACACCAAACAAAAATTGGAGTACAGGGAGAAAGAAAGAAAGAAAGAAAGAAAGAAAGAAAGAAAGAAAGAAAGAAAGAAAGAAAGAAAGAAAGAAAGAAAGAGAGCCCAAGGGGCTCCCGCCCAGCCATTCCAATCAGGTCAGTGTTTCTTTCCCAATTAGGATGGATGCAATGCACATTATTAAAAATAGGTCTGTGGCCCCATCTGTGTTGATTATTGTCCTCTGTTTCCGTCCTCTGGCCAACTCTGTTAATTAATAAAGAAACTGTCAGGGAAGGGAAGGGAGGGATGGGCGGGGGGGCGGGCAGGGGACTTCCCTGACTGGAGCCTCCTGTTTAGAGAGTTCAAGAGAGAAATTGGACACTTGAATCTCCCTGTCATCCCCCATTGTGTGGAGCTCTCCTAATGATGTTGGGCTGGAAGTCAGCTCCCCGCACCAGCACCGACTGCCTCTTTCA